TAGTTGTTTAATTTATTTTAATAAGTTCAAATTTTAAAGTTACACTAATTTTTATCAAATCTTTATTATTGAAAATCATTAATTGTCATATATTCTTTAACCATATTTCGCGATTCCGTTACTTTTATTTAAGAAAACAATGAAAAAAATATTTTTTTTCTATTTTATATGATATATAAAAAAGTTAAATGATATTATCGTAGAAATATAATACATTTTTAATATTGATATTCTTTAAATTATAGTTTATACTCATATTATTTTTTTGTTCATTTTTATATTTTTATAATAAAAATTTTAAATCAGTGATAACAAATTTTTTTGTGTGGGATGTTTACCATTTTTTAGTAATTTATAATTTTAAAACAATATGCAAAGTTTAAAACTAAATATTACGTTTTCAATATTTTATTCAAAATTTTTATCAAAAAAAATCAAAGCACATTAGAAATTAAAATACATATATATATATATATATTTTTATATGGTACATAATTTATTTTGAACAATATATATATTATATATATATATATTAAATGAGACATTTTTACTTATATAATTTTGTAATTATTTCTATTTTGTTATAAAAATTTAACCATGGATCACAAAAATTTTAGTGAGACTTTTTAACAACTTTAGTCATTTATAGTCATTTTAAAAAGTTCAAATTTAAAAGTTACACTAATTTTTATCAAATCTTTATTATTGAAAATCATTAAATGTCATATATTCTTTGATCATATTTGGCAATTCCGTTTTTTTTATTTAAGGAAATAATGAAAAAAAATTAATAAGTCATTTATGATTAGTTTAATAAAAAGCTTATTATATAGTTAGATAGACCAACATATTTTTCTAAGGATTCTAAGAATGATTGTGGTGATGACACGTGGCTACAAAACAATGTTGTAATGCTTCTCCTTTAATATATAGGGGATGACTTTGATATTATAGTAAACATTATATATAATTAACATTTTGGTGTCATCTATGGGATAGTGATAAAATCCCTCGAGTACTTTTAGATTTGTAAGAAAATCTTTCAAATATATTTCCTTAAACTTTAACTTATAAAAAGTTTAAAAACTTTTTGCGCGGGATCAGATATCGAAATAAATGATGATAAAAAATTAGAAAGTTTAAACAATAATGGATTTTTTGAAAAATGCAACTTATCGACGGATTATTTGAATATCGTTTTTCTTCCATGTTGATGGCTCCACTAGATGTATATACTTGATTGTATGTGTAAAATTACATCTTACTATTTGGATTGATATCTTCATTTATAAAAATGAAAACCAACCGTAATCTAGTAATAACTTCACTACTATTTAACCAATCTCAACTTGGGTTTAGGCTTCAGTCCAGTTGGTTACATGGTGAGCTTTAACATATGATTGTTTTACTTTCTGGCATTAGTTGGAAGATATTTCAAATTCGAATTTGACAGTGTGGTATACCTTCGGACTACTCCACTCTATAACACTAAATACGTTCTTCTCGGGATCGACCAAATCAGCCAATAGAATTTTTTAAAAAAAATGAAAGCCCACTATAGACTAAGCTCTTTTGAATTTGGTTTAAGGTTAAATTATGTAGTTAATGGGTTAAAAGACAACCCGTTCAAAATTATAGATGAAAATTTTCAATGTCGCTAAATAAGGTAATCAAAATTATAGATAAATCAATCATGATTTAGTTTAAAAAAATAAAACTACAGTAAAAAGATAGAAAAGAAAATATGTTAGTTCTCAAAATCAATTTTTTTCTACAGTTTTTATCAAGTGTTTTGAAAATAAATTTACAAAAAAAATTAAAGCTAAAGTAAAAAAATTCAGAACCTACTTTATAAAGCAAAAATTTAAAACTACAGTTCTAAAAATGTTTAAGATTCTGTAATCTCAAGGTATATTATTTTCTGGTCCAAACTACGAATGCTTATTCACACTTTTCAAAAATAGTTATAAACTCGATCCTAATTATTATAAACTATATCCTTATTATTATAATATTTTTCAAATGTGTATGATTAATAATTCAATTGTATACTTTTCAACGTCTACTTTATAAGATTTTCAGTGTGTAATTTTTGGCTAGCATTCTATACTATTTAATGGATCCTACAATTACATATATATATATTTAGAACTTCAATAGGATAGATATCTCATTGAAAATGTTCTAAGATAGTTATATAAATATGTTTGGCTACATCCTTTATTTCAATTATGATATTGAGCACTTATATTGACTCATTTTGTAGTTTAAACTGAATATAGTTTTATACTTTAAAATGAACATATAATTGAATATGATAATTGTATAATGTTTTCTTAAGGAAATTTTGATACTAGAATTTTGATGTGATTTATTATAAGTCATTTTGTGGAAAATATTATCTAATTTTTTTAAATTAAAGTCCTATTTTTATCTACTTACAAATAGTCTAGGTTAGACTATTTCATATTTTAGTTTGTCTTTTTTTTTTGTATATATAACAAAATTAGTTATTATTAAATATACACAATATTAACATATTATTTAAATAATATTTTAAAAAATATCAAATGATATTACCAAATATATCTTCTAATATTGCATTTTTACAATATCTTTTAGTATCTTATTATTTAAAATATAGATATTATTGTTTTAAAATTTAGTTTAAATAATGGAAATTCGTAATTATTTAAAATATTAATTTATTTTTATTTATAAATAAGAAATAGCATTTCTTTAATATGTATATATACATAACTATATTCATAGTTAAATTATTACAGTAAATAATATAACTTCATGACAATTGTTTTCTAAATTATAAATTAAAAGGATGAAATATGCATGATAACATATATTCACACATTTTACAACATAATTCAATTTATTAATGCGAATATTTAAATAAAATATTTAAATAATATTTTTTATATTTAATATAATATATAGAAATTATCATATTAAAATAAATTAATATTATTAATATGCCTTATAAATTTAAAATAGTATATTAAAATTAGTTGACATTAATATTATTTGATTATATAGTATATTGAATTTTATATATTATGATTTACAGTTACATTTTCTTACAGTTTATTTCATAATAATATAAACATTTATGAATTTTAAAACAGTTTGAACGTCATATAATTAATTTATATTATAATAAATATTTATTTAATGTAATAATAAAATAAATTGAAAAATATAAGAAACAAAACATAAATTCATATTATAAGTATGGATCATGTTAGAATATAATACACCGGTTTTGATTCTAATTTGTATCACATCTTAAAATCCATAAAGTAATTATATATTGTTCGGATTCAGATTATATTAGTTCAGTTCATAAGTTAAATCCAGTTTAAAACCAAAACATAAGAAGTAAATACTTATTCATATAGAATTGAATATTTTAAAATATTTCTTTAAAATTTAAATATTTATTTTTAGATGTTTCTTCAAAAAAAATATCCGAAGTAAATATTTATGTTTTAAATATTTATACTTGTGATTAATTTAAATATTCGGATTGGTTTCCGAGATTTCTGAATGTTTAGTTTGTTTTGGTTATCCGTTCGAGTACGGTTAATTACATTTCAGACTTAGATAGGTTTTGTATCACCCTAAAAGATTCATTTTGGTATTTCTTATATTTCGAACCAGGTACGAATTGAATTTTTAGTTTGTGTTTGATTTAAATTTCGGTTACATATTTTATACCCAAATTTACTTTAAATAAAAATAAAATGTGATTATATAAAACTTTTATCAAATAAATATTTCACACTTAGAAAGTGCGGGTTAAAATCTAATTTAATATATTATATGAGAATGCATGGTGACAACACGTCAACTATGGTAAAGACGTGTCATCTATTTTTTATGTGAGAATTACTGTGGTGACGACACTTTAGCATTGTTCTCTCAAATTCTTTTCAAATAATATATGGAAAATTTTGAACATTAAATTTTTGCTACAAAATCTAAACAAGGGAAACAAAACAAAAATTAAACTTGGTGTAAAAAAATGAAAACCAAGATAAAAGGAAGGTAAGAGAGTGTGCAACGAATTGGATGCCACCTCTTCCTTAATCCATTGTCTTAGCCAGTCAAGACTTCTTTGTATGGTGTATGGTTGATGCATACAATCGCTTGTGACAAAATAAGACTGTTGACATTAACTTGTTGACTGACCTCTACTATCTTGCTCATTACAATCTAGAGCTTTTGGCAAAGAGTCTTCTATTTGCCTATGTATTTGCATTCTGTCCCTAATAGAGATGACGTGATCTTGTCTCACATTGCTTAAGCTTTCAATAGCGTACTAGCAAATTTGAACAACTAATAACTTGGTTTTGTTCGGATCTGATTTATCAGTAACAAACTAAAAGAAATTAAAGACCATTTAAAAGATTAAGAGAATTGACAAATGTTGTCTTTTAAATTATTAGAGTCAAAATGAACTAACAACAAATAATAAAACCGCAAACAGAAAAGTGAAAAACGAAATCAGACAAAATGCGGTTTACCTTCCAGTTAACCCGGACTAAACCAGATCGGTTTAACCACGTTTCAGTATTTCCTCTACTTTGTGGGAGGGAGAGGAAGAAACTTTTGCTCTGAAGTAAACTTATATGTGGGAACTTAGCCACCATTCATCTCCACCTGATAATTGCTGAACCCCAAGTTAAACCGGCTCCAAAACCAGAAGCAGCTATGGTATGTCCCGGTTTAACTTTTCCGCTTCTCACAGCCTCATCAAGAGCGAGAGGGATAGAAGCAGCACTTGTGTTCCCGTAATTAGCCAAGTTTGATATGACTCGTTCCGGTGGAAACTGTAGCCTTGTAGCCACAGAGTCTATTATTCTCTGATTTGCCTGCAAAGTTTTTCTTATAAAGACTTCCACCATTTTAACTTTAAGTCTCAGATTCTTATCAATGAAGGATAAGGACGTTGGTTACCTGATGAAGGAGGAGCCAATCAATAGAAGAAGCAGGAAGACCAGCTTTTTGTAAAGCAGACTCAATAGATTGTGGAACGCTTTTGACAGCAAAGCGAAACACTTCTTTTCCATTCATCTGAATGCAAGAATATGAAGATCGCTTTGGAGGAAAGTCTCCCAACACCGAGCCATTGGAGCTTAAGGCACCATCGGTCTGGGATTCTTTAATAGAAGCATTCAAATGTCTACAGAAACATAGAATCTTACAAAAAAAAAAAATTTGTGCTAAAAAGACTCTTGGTTCTTAAAGTGGTAAAAATATGAATACCTACGACCATCTCCATCGCTGTGTACATCAAAACTAAACAGCCCATCATCCTCAATATCACAAGCCTGCATGAAATGGTAGTAGTAAGGTATAGTGACAGCTCAGAGATTGTTCAAAGCTTTCACAAGGCAAAAAAATACCTGAACAACAACAGCACCAGCAGCATCCCCAAAGAGGATGCAAGTTCCTCTATCCGTCCAATCAACAAACCGAGATAAAGAATCAGCTCCAATCACTAAAACATTCTTGAATCCGCCTCCTGCCAAAATAGAAAAGAGATTTAATACAAATTAATTAGTTAATAATCAAATTTTGCTGGGATTCTTATTTGAGTTGATACCTCTAATATGACAAGCAGCTGAGACTAGACCCAAAACAAACCCACTACAAGCAGCTGTGATGTCATATGCTAAAGGGTTCTTTGTGCAACCAAGTGCTTTTTGAATCTGCCATCAATATAGCAGAAAATTTTAATTCCATCAAAGCAATAGAAAAAAAGGGTCAAGGAATATACCTGGGGAGCAGCACCGAAGAGATCATCAGGAGTGGAAGTAGACATCAAGATTAAGTCAATATCTTCAGGAACAACCTCTGCCATTTCAAGGGCTTTGGTTGCTGCTTCCACTGCTAAGCCGACCAAGCTATCTTTGCCTGACACAACAACTCTACGGTTGCGAATACCGGTGCGAGTAGCTATCCATTCATCATTGGTATCGACTATCTTGGCGAGATCATCGTTAGAAATGAGGAGACTTGGGACTGCTGAACCCGATCCAATCAACTTGCACCCACGTGGCACTAGCCTTTGAGAATCAGAGAGAGCATTTAAATGATTTTTTGAGTAATTAAAGAGAATCATTGCTTTGGCTTCTAAAGATGATCGTAAAGACTTTCTTTCTGTTCACCTACCTGGGCGGTCGATACTGAGAAGGAGAAGGCGAAGAAGCATGCTCATCCACGCTTGAGCAGAGAACAACCCTTTTAGAGATCCTAGATCCAGAAACTGTAGGATGAGTGAAGAACCCAGATGCATTCGCCATTTGAAACTTTGCACGAGTTATTTTTTTTTAAGTGTAATGCGAAAAAGTGCGGCAGAGATGAATCAAAGGGATGAACTTGGCGAGACGAGGGGTTAAAAAGGTGGACAGAATTCGAAATTCTATTTATTTATCTGTGTGAAAAAAAATCAAATCTTCGAAAGTTCCGAAGCGAAGCGAAGAGGAGAGGAGAGAGAGTGGCAGCCTACATGTTTGAGGAGATTCCTATGCTGTACTTATTGAAAACAAAACAACCAGCCTGAAGAATAAATTTGTCAATTACTCACATAATTAGCATCTAAGTTAATAAATTATCGAAAAAGTCCACTAAATATGTACATTCTTTTTGTGCGCCAATTTAACATGATTCATGTGGCAAACTGAGACATCACTTAGAAAATATATTATCCCTAAAAATCAGCAAACACCGAATATGTAGTATATCTTTGAGTGCTATACTACTAGTATGTTATACTATTTAAAAATTAAAACTTCACATATAATTGAGAAAAACTCCTTATACACCATTCTTTTACAAATAGTATATAATAATGCTAGTTGTGATATTTTGCAGATACTTTAGTGCTTGACAAAGTTTATTGTGTGTTGATCGTTACAGATACTTTAATCCTAAAACACTTGAATCTGCTGCATTTGGACTCCATGCACTAAAACTTGTCCTCTCTTATTAGTTGTTTATAAACTCTAACAAAATATACATAACGTTCTGTAACGATTTCAACAAAATTCTTAGAACATCAGCACTAGAAAACACTTATATTTTCGATACAATTTAGTTATAGAATTATGTTTTATATTATACAAAAATTAAACCGCAGATAAGCGTGACATCATTTTTAAGAATATCTCTAAGTTTTTCATATGAAAACCCTTATCATTATTTGTCTTCAACTTTTACTTTTTATACCATCGTCAGAGATTTGCGTGTATGATATGAAGACAAAGATATTATTTCAAAGCTCCCTGAAAAATATTTCAAAGCTCCCTGAAAATATTTAAAGATCATTTTTAACTACTTTACTAGATTTTGATCCGTCCTTTCAAAATGTGGATTTATGTGTGATATAAATTTTATATAAGGGATAATTTGTAAATTATCCTATTATCAGTTTGATTTTTGAAAATTAACTCTTCTATTTTGTTTTTTTTGAAACTTACACCTTATTCAATATGAATTTACATTTTTATCCAAATTGGATATTTTAATAACAAAAATATAATTCAAAATTAATAATAATATGGAGAATTATTAATATTTAAGATAAATATATATGTTGAGAAAAATATGGTCTTTTACCAATAAATTTTTTAAAATAACAAAGATATTTATAAATAAACCAAATTGTGATTTGTTTTGACTTTATCATGAAGTTTATATGATTTTTTTTATTTTCTTAATCTTATATAAACAAGTTCACGTATCCTCTACAAAAAATATTCATTCTTCCTAGAAGTCAATATATCTACCGAATAAGTTATGATTACTAACATTTGTTATAATTTTTTTGACTTTAAATTAATATGGTTAAGGTTTAATTTCTACATAGACATCTTCTATATATTATTCCCTACATTATTTTCATACATAATATGGGAAGATATTGTGTAGATTCTCTAACAAATATTTCAAAAATATTACATTGTTTCTCTGAATTTCTTTTTTTTTTACATTTAAAAAAAATTATACTAAGAAATGATGAATAATTAAGATTGGACAATTAAGTAAATTTATATATACATAGTGTATTTTTCTAAAAACTTAAATAAGGGTGTAATATTCAAATTATAATCTGATTTCAGTGTATTTTCCCAAATTTTCCCTTTATATAATCGTATTTCTTATACATGTAGAATATGAGATAAATTTATTTAGTTCATTAATTTCATCAAACATAGTATTTTTAAAAATACGCGACAATCTTTCGATGAAAAGTTTATGTGATCACAATTTTGTTTATAAAGTAGATATGTGCATAAAATCCATAACTCGACATCTGAGCTAAAATGTAAACAAAACAATTTGGATCCGTAACCGCTTGAAAATGTAAAATATATCAGAATGAGTTTTGTAGGGTCGTACAAAATATATCCGAACCGAAGTGTTATTAGCCAAACCCGAACGAATAACCCAAAAACCTAAAAACTTGAAAAAAACTAATCGATCTGAATGTCCAAATTAACACTAAACATAAATATTTGAAACATAAATAGCTACTTTAAACATTCAGTTCTATATTTACTTTGAAATGATATTTAAAAATAATTATTTAAATTTTAGATAAGTATTTTAATACTAATTCTATAAAAATCAGTATCTTTTTTTGGTTTTAAATTTTAGATTTTCAAACCAATATAACCCAAATCCAAACAATATATGGTTACTTTATTGGTTTTAAGATGTGTACAAATTAGAACCAAACCCGACGTGTTATATTTGAATATTATCCATACTTACAAACATGCATACTTACAAATTATGACACCTATGATATGATACAAATTAGAATTGATACAAAATATTTGACCCGTATCCCAATAGGTACTTGAACGTTTAAGCATAACTTAAATTGTGTTTTATAAATTAATTTTATATTTGATAAATATTTTTTATCTTTATTAGAATAACCCATAAAATTATAATCATAAAACTATCAATAATAACATGTTTCACAATATAATTAAGTATTAATAGTAGTTATTATTAATATTTATTTTATCAAAAAAATTATATATATATAAATGATCTTAAGACTTTATCTATGATAATTATATATTATGTATTGGCGAAAGTTTGAATAATTTGTTTATTATAGTTGAATTAACGTACAAATGTTATATACAAATAGTAGGCTTATATAATTCCTTTTTTATTAATAAATAAAATATAACTGATTAGTTACTTAAATTTCGTTTTAAGATAAATTGAATTAATTAGTTTTTTATAAAAAATATATATTAATTATTAGTTCCCTAATTTTAGGTTAGCTATATATTTTATAATTATTAAGTTAAGTATAAGTAGAAATAATAGAAAAAAATAGTTAACATGTAATGGTTCAACCTAGACTATTTGTAGGTAGATAAAAATTGCTTATGTTTTAATAGTAGTGATTATTTCCTTAAATAAGAATTCATTTGAATATCTTTTATTTTTCAAATCTACACTTTCTTAGAATTTAAAAATAAAAGGTATGGTTTGAACCTTTTGTATAATTGTTGACAAAATTATTTTATATTCGTTTCCGTTTTTTTTTTAATTTAATTTTTATATTATTAATAATTTACAATAAATTTTCAATTTACATCATATAAAGCAAAAAAGGACTGGATAATATAAAAGTAAATAGGACAAAAACAAGGTGGTTATAGGTACCGGTCATATATTAGTAGGGGTTTGGTGACCAACTTGAAAAAGACTAATCCACTTTCATAACTTAATCGGCATGATCAAGTTGAAGGAAATAATTTTTTTGCCAGAGAAAAATCTTGAAAGATGCAATTGTTGTCAGAGTTGGTTGTGGACCGTCATAAACTCATATAAATAGTGAAGCTTCATAGTTTGGTGGATGTGACAGAGAGACAGATGAGCTTTTGGGTGTTAGATATGTACATTAGTGTTGTTCCAAAAAAAAAATGGACATGAATGCAAATACAATACACGTACTAACTCTAAACAAGGAAAACAAAATGCCAGAAGAAGAAATGGATAACAGATAAATTTAGAATTGAAGCAATTAGATGTGGCAAGAGATTAAGATCTTAAATCATATTGAAACTTAGAGTTACAAAGCACATTTGAGACACACATTTATGAATTGATGAACGCATACGCAGCTAAATGAACTATATAACAACATTATCAACTACAGAAGAAATATTTACCTTGAAGGACACATTTTGAATTTTTCAATATCTTAAAAAGACACATTATCATATGACACATTTTTTGAGTTTTCTGGTCTTAGTATTTTACTAACTTAACCCTCAACTAAGTATAGAGTGTCTTTTGGTCATCAGCCTTTTGCTTGTCCAACAAGAGTGTTTTATAGTTACCTTTTAGAGTTTATCTTTATTTATTAAAATATTTTTTTTTATCTTTTCAATCCTCTGTCCGTAAATCACAAATCCACTTTTGAACCCTAATTTCCTAATCCCAACCAAGAAGATGACACAAAATCCTCCAACATGAGTCTCGAATCGTAATCTTTTTAATCAGAATCTGCCCCCATCCTCCTCTCTTTCTTCGGAAGCATACGACGCTCTTCTCCCAAACCCCCATGATCCACTCTCTCGCTCTCTCTATCTCTCTCCCTCCCTCCTCTGTTGGATTGGTCTGATTTTACTCAAGTTTGTGTTTCGTACTTGATGATTGGATTCCTAACTATGGATACTTGTTGTTCATAAAACGATTATTCTTCCAAAGTTGATTTTTTACACATGGTTTTTCACCAATACTGTTTTGTTTGTCTTTTTCAGTTACAAGAAGGAAGATCTAAATCCAAGTATCTCTACTTTAGAACAACTCAAGAATCTACAGCTGACATAGGCACCCATACACCCACTGACCACCAGAGCTTGACCCCAACACGCTCGACCATAACAACACTCCCCCTAACCACAAGACACCCATCCACAACACACCCGACCACCACGAGGCTCCGTACACGCTCGACCATAACAACACTCCCCCTAACCACGAGACACCCATCCACAACACACCCGACCACCACGAGGCTCCGTCTCATCACGTTTACAGCAGATCTCGAGGTTAAAGCGTATTACTTTGTTCACATGAGTGAGTTCAGGAAGTTGCAGTGAAGATTCAGTGTGGATGAACTCGTGATTTCCCATGGATGAGTTTGGGATCCGATGTGGAAGAGTTGTGGATGGGGATCTCATGGTCATTGGTTGTCTCCACATCACTACCTCACTTTTTCTGGTAACCTCATCCACATGTATCATGTCCACAACGACACCATCCACTCTTTGAAAATCCCAGACGACTACATCCACAAACGCATGTCCATTGAAAAAACAGAGAGGTGATGGCCGCATAAGAAACAACGATGGTTCCTGTTTACAACAACACCATACACTCTTCACAAATCTCAGACAACCACATCTACAAACTCATGTCCATTGAAGAAACGAAAACGGTGGTGGTGCTGGCCGCAAAAGAAACAGCGGTGATGGCTCTTGAAAAAATGGCAACGATGGTGGTGGCCGTGGAAAAAATGACAATGGTGGTAGAAGGATAACAGGTCTACAAAAAATAGAACATATCTAAATAAAGAAATGGTGGGAATGGAAAGGAAGAAGGAGGAAAGAGGAGAAGGAAAGAGGAGAAGTTAAAATAAATTGCAGAAGAAAAAAAGAAAAGTAATGGAAAAAGAAAAAGACAAAATAACAATTTTTTTTAGACAAAGAAAGTAAAGATAAAAGAATAAGAAAATGAAAAGTTGCTTCTTCTTTTAAGGCCACTCTCGTTAAAGAAAATGAAGGACTTTTTAGTCACTAATTTTATCTCTTTCCTATATATTGTGCCTCTCCGGCAGAATGTGTTCATTTAAGTAAGGAAAGACACAAATGTGTCTGTTTGGGTAAATCACTCTATCTAGAAAGAGAGAAAGCTTGATGATAAATCAGATGAAGACCACCCGAAAGTTATTTACATCCGACTAATGATTGGTGGTGTCTAGTTGATGGCCTAAGAACCAACAAAAGATATTTTAGAGAACATATATAAAGTGAAGGAAATAGTAACAAGGAAAGATAATACTGACCTCTTTGAATTTGCAAGAACGTAAGAATCGATGTTTAGTGGATTCATCTTCCCTTTCAACCTCTTCTATCCATTTATCTCTCCATATTCTGTCACAACGTCTTATCCCGTGTCGCTTTTAGAATCGAGTGGAAGCCTCAGCTTTGGGCCCCTTCACCTCGCAACACACAAGAGAATCGAACCAGATTCATGAAGGAACTAAATTAATGGGTTGGAAAGAACCAAACTGAATACAAACATTGAAATGCATCAATTAGCTTTTTATTTATTTTTATATTAGTTAGCTTTTTTCTCCAATAAATCTTGGTCTTTAAGACATTATAAGCAACTAACACATTTTTGGGTTATTGATAATAAAAAAGGGATCTTAATAAGCTTTCTTTTACCATTTAGAGCACTTTCGCAATCAAGGGAAAGTTTCTTCAGAGCCAAGAAAGGATTCAAGATCCTGAAAACCTGGTTTAAATTAACGTTTGGTTTAATTTGATTTAAAACCGGTTTAGTTTGATTATTATCTATACCAACTTGTAATCATTGGGTCAACGGGGAGTCTTAAGCCCGACAAAATTAACTTGTTGACTCTCCCATGCTGGCCCAAGAATAAACCAAACCTTTTCATCAATCACCACGTCACGTGGCCGCCGCCATTTAAGAGCATCCACATCAATGAACTCCTCTTGGGATTTGTTGAATCAATTTTTTATTATTAAAATTTTTCTATTTTCTTTTTGAATTTTTAAAAAGAAAAAAAAAAGACCAATCCCCGACCGATACGTGTTGAACCTTAGGAGAGAGGGGTTCACCCGGATGAACTTTAGGAGAGAGGGGATCATAAATTTTTGTTATTTTATTATTTTATTTTTTTGATTTCCGTGTGAATCTCCATTTGAACTCTCAGCGGGGTGCTCTAAGTACACTATTTCCGCATGTGGTTGACCCAAGAATAAATCCAAATGGCACCGTCCTCTTCCCCAATCTCATCACGCCACGTGGCCGTCATCGGAGCTGGAGCCGCCGGTCTAGTGGCGGCGAGAGAGCTTCGACGGGAAGGCCACTCGGTGGTCGTCTTCGAGAGGCAGGAACACGTCGGAGGAACATGGAACTACACTGATCATGTCGAACTGGATCCCTTAAGCGTTGACCCGACCCGACAAATAGTCTACTCGAGCGTCTATCGCTCTCTCCGAACCAACCTTCCTCGAGAGTGTATGGGATTCGTTGACTTCCCATTCATGACCCGACCCGGCGTCTCGGCAGCATCAAGAGATCCGAGGAGGTATCCGAGCCACGGTGAAGTTCTCGCGTATCTGCAAGATTTCGCTAAGGAGTTTGCCATCAGTGAGATGATACGGTTCGAAACGGTGGTTGAGCGGGTTTCTCCGGCGGAGGAAACAAAATGGAGGATTGAATTTACAAAGAAAGATGATAAAGTTGGTCGTGATGAGATTTACGACGCCGTTGTTGTTTGTAATGGACATTACATTGAACCTCGTCTCGCTGACATTCCTGGTTATTTCAACTTCTTGATACGTGTTTCATCCTGATCGTATTGAAAACTAAAGTGTGTTTTGTATGAAAACTGTTTTAGGAATAAGTTCTTGGCCAGGGAAAGAGATGCATAGTCATAACTATCGTATTCCCGAACCCTTTAAGGAACAGGTACTTATGTCAGATTCTTATGTAATGCTAATTTTTTTTCAAAAATAAAATGTAATGCTAAAATTCATGTGTAGCTTGTGTTGCATTGATTATATAGGTTGTTGTGATTATTGGAAGCTCTTCAAGTGCTGTTGATATAAGTAGAGACATTGCTGGAGTTGCCAAAGAGGTTCATGTGGCTTCTTGGTCAAATGCTTCTGATACTCTCATCAAACAAAATGGTTATACTAACCTGTGGATGCATTCAATGGTGAGTTAAGAGAGTGTTCTTACCGTAACTCGTAGATCAGGAGTAAAAGATTTTTATTTCTTTTTTTTTGAAACGTGACGCAGATAGAGCGTGTCCATGAGGATGGTTCTGTGGTTTTTCAAAACGGGAAAACGACTTTGGCTGATGTTATTATGCATTGCACTGGGTTTAAGTATCACTTCCCGTTTCTTGAAACCAATGGAAGTGTTACCGTAGATGATAACCGTGTTGGACCGTTGTACAAACACGTCTTCGCTCCAGCATTTGCGCCTTCGCTCTCCTTCATCGGTCTAGCATGGAAGGTACAAAGCTCACGTCGTCCGGTTTATTTATTTGTTATCTTACATGTCAACAACATAACCAATTGGATTCTTTTAAGGTGCTACCGTTTCATTTGTTTGAGCTTCAAAGCAAGTGGATTGCGGGTGTTTTGTCGGGTCGGGTCAGGCTTCCTTCAAAAGAAGATATGATGGTGGAATTAATCAAAAACATAAATGACACACTTGAAGCACAAGGGATTCCTAAGCGATATAGTCACTACTTAGGCATTTCCCAAGTAAGGATCTCTGTAACTTATGTTTCTCCTGTGAGACCAAAGCCTAATGGGAACACATTACTGTGTGTTTTCTTTCATTTTTGTCGCAGTTTGAGTACTTTGATTGGTTGGCTTCACAATATGGAAGCTCAGGAACAGAGAAATGGAGGAAAGAGATGTGCTTGACGGGTTTCATGCGGGCGATGGAGCATCCGGAGACGTATAGAGATGAATGGGAAGATCATCATTTGGTTTCTCAAGCTTATCAAGATTTCTCTTTGTATACTCATTAACAAGATACGAGACCTATATCTGTCAAATAATATTTGTTACATGGTCTTGAAAAAAACGACAATCACTTGTTAGGTATTTAGTGGGATCACTGGACTGGGAGCAATATGTATAGAAGAAGAAATTGTTAAGCTTATCAAGATTTCTCTTCCACAAAAACCAATTTGTAAATTTCTTTATGGTACAAAATGCAGTAGCATAATCTTATACTCTATTAATTACTTAATATGAATATTTGATTATTTACATTAATCAATCAAATATATACCAAACATATCTGATTTAAATTTTATTTTAAGTTATAACAAAATCAGTTGAGAAAAAATCTAACAAAATCTTACTATTAATTCAAATATTTTTTTTTTATAAAATAACACAATCTTAATTTCCTAATTAATAATATAATGCTATTATATATTAATTAAAATTTTAATATAAAACAGAAATAAAAATTCTATCATATTTTTATAATTTCCATATTATACTCTATATTATATTAAACAAAATTACTCTATGAATTAAATAAAAAGAGAATATTTGGTAAATTAATTTTTTATTTTTATATTTTTTCATTTAAATACTATAAATTACTTAATATGACATATTTGATTATTTACATTAATCAATCAAATATATACCAAACATATCTGATTTAAATTTTATTTTAAGTTATAACAAAATCAGTTGAGAAAAATCTAACAAAATCTTACTATTAATTCAAATATATTTTTATAAGATAACACAATATTAATTTCGTAATTAATAATATAATGCTATTATATATTAATTAAAATTTTAATATAAAACAGAAATAAAACTTCAATCATATTTTTATAATTTCCATATTATAGTCTATATTATATTAAACAGAATTACTTTATGAATTAAATAAAAATAAAATATTTGGTAAATTAACTTTTTTTTTAAATATTTTTTATTTAAATAATATAAAATACTTAATATGACATATTTGATTATTAACATTAATGAATAAAATATATACCAAATATGCTAAAAAAATAGATTAAAATTTTTTTTTTAGTTATACAAAAATCAGTTGAGACAAAATATAACAAAATCTTACTAAAATTTCAATTTTTTTTATAAAATAACACAAAAATTATTTTCGTAATTAATAATATAATAATTTTATACATTAATAATAATTAAAATTTTACTATAAAAATAAAAATCCTATCATATTTTATAAATTTCATATTATAGTTTATATTATATTAAAATAGAAGTACGAAATGAATTAAAAATGATAAATTTGCTAAATTAACTTTTTTATTTTAAATTTATTTCACTTGAAAAAACGAATAATTATTTACCGTTACAAGGATTAACATACATAAATTATGTATATTTTTATACAAAATAATGTTAGCAAACGTTAAGTTTTTATATCTACAACTATATCTTATTTTTTACTTAATTTAAAAATCACAACTATATATTATATAAACATGAATATATACATAATATATTAGTATATGACTAAATTTTAGTTCATGTATTATTTAAAAGGTAGTATGTCAGAAATTTTTAATAATTAATAACATAATAATGAAAAATCTTATTAACTAAAAATTTTATTTTTTTAATTATAAAATAATATGCTAAAAATATATAAAATATTTAGTACTTTCAAAATCAAATATATTTAGTACTTTTCAAAATATTTCTTGACCAAATATACAATTTTGAGAATAAGTATTTTAAACTTAAATTGAAAAAATCAAATTATAAAAGAAAAAATTATAGATGATAAAATGTATTTTTTTTACATGGAACAAAAAAAAGAAATACTATTTAAAAAAAAGTAGTGTAATATTTTGAAATATTAATTTAATAAAACAAGTCAGAGAACTTAATACCATAATATCCCAAATATTTTTATATTCATAAAAATTACTAAAATAATATCATAGATGCTACTACATATAAAATTTGTAAAATTAATATGGCTAAATTAGTTAAGCAAAATAATACATATATTTGAAATATACTAAAAGGATATATGTTAAAGTTAGATTTTAAATACAAAATGGAAATATCAATTAGCCTAAATAAATATTTTCTTATAATAGCTAAATAAATTCTAAAAAATGTTTTGAATGAAATTTATAGAATTTTATTGAAAACATATTCTAAAGGAGATTATCTATTTAATTATTTCAAATTATGAAGTTATTTTACTTGCTCGAAAATATATTAGCACGTATAACAAACAAAAAAACATTATATATTAATAATGTTGAATAAAAAGTTAAAAGAATATTATATATTAATAATGTTGAATAAAATCTAAACAATAAAATTACAAAGTTACAAAATATAACGAAAATTTAAATATATATATTTAAAATGTTGACGTTAATATTAAATATACATTTTAAAAATAAAAAAATATATCCGCACGAACGGGCGGGTCAAATCTCTAGTGTAGACATTACAATCAACTACAAACCTTAGTATAAATGTTGATACAGATCAGAAAATAACTCATAGAAAGCAACACACAGAAAGAAACTTGAGAGAGAGAGCGACAGTTCCCTTTTAGAAGAAACCCAAATAGCATTGTCAACTTCGAACTAGATACCTCAGAGAGAACTTCTGGCTGTAATCAATCTAACATATACACACAAAAAGAGATGCATTAAGGATGGAAGTAGTTCAAAACTCAAAGCAAAACAAAAAACAAAAATATCCTTGAATATCAAATAAAGAAAAGAGGATGAATATTAGACCTGTAGGGTTGAAAGTGAGAAGTGGGTTTTCGTAGCTTCGTCCTCCCATTCCACACCATCAATCCATTCCTTCTCAGTGTATCTTAATATGAATGCATTTTCACCGTGCATGCCACTTCTTGAATCAAGCGGAAGCTTCCTCAGACTTGGACATCGGAATACATCAATTCTCTTTAGGCATGGAAAGGGTAGAGGACTCGAATGGATATTCTTCAACTTCGGTAGACTATCCAACACAAGACGATTCAGGTTTGGAAATGGAACTATCCCTGCTTTTTGACCTTCACTAGCTTTCTCTTTGTTTATTACATCTTCAAGTTGGTTTGAATATCTAACAACAAGACGTTTAAGAGATGGAGCGAACATCAGTAACGTCAATTCCCTCAAGCAATTACAATCCAATATATACACTTCGGATAGACTGGAGAAGCATGGGGTAGCCGGGTTGTGCAGAGGAGAAACCTTCTTGCTTTTAATGCATATCTTTCCCATTTTTATCTCGGAGATAGTGCAGCTTTCAATGCAGAAAACACGAAGCTTCTCCATAGTTACTGGAAGTGTTAAATCATATGGACCTTCTTCCTTGCTATTCCAGATGTCTAGCGATCTTGTACAACTAGTCAACTTATGCGAGCTCAGAAATTGCTCAACACGTGGACGAACACTGATCGATGTGGTTAGAACTTCTAAATGTTTCAAGGCTTCCAACTCTTCCACTGTGTTGACATCCCATGAAAACCCAGAACGATATAAGTTCAATACTTTCAAATTATGTACACCTGATATCCCAGAGATACTCAAAAGTTGTCGTGTTTCCGATATATCCAAGTAAATAAGCTTTTCAAACTCTTGTAGATCCTTGGGCAAATCACGTATAGGAGTGTAGGCCAAGTTGAGATATTTCAATGAACCTAGCTTCGAAACTCCTTCCGGTGTTTCAGAGAGATTTTCATTATCTGATAGATCCAAGACAAGTAGCTTTGGCATCGACTTGAAGAATCCACTCGAGAACTTTGCCAACTTCCCTTTTTGCAGGAGCAAAGTTGTGAGTTCTCTACATTCAGGACTGCCAGTGAAACTGTGAGCCTTATTACCCATCAGTGACATCCTTCTCACAACGTTCCAATTCTCAACCTTTGGCATTCCATAGATCAATGGATGCACAACGAAAGCATCTTTTTGTTTAAAAGATGCTATCCACAAGGCCATTTCATGAACAACATCATGCATATATACAATATCCATTCCATGCCAATCAACATCCTCCATCAACAATGACGCACGAACAAGACTACCAATGATCTCATAACCCTTGTTCTCCGCCCTTTCTATACCTTTACTTCCATCTATTATCCCTTCGGATATCCAGTACCCTATCATTTTTACTTTAGGCATTTTATAATCTTCTGGAAATAAAGCGCAATATAGAAAACATGATTTGACATGGTCCCCCTTAAGGTTATCGTAGCTATACTTTAGAAGCGGAAGGATCTTATCTTCCATGCCAGAAAACTCTGTAGCATATGATGTCAAAACATCTATCGCATGACGCCATTCTTGCACCGTCCTTTTGCATGACATTGTCTCACCTACGACATCAAGCGCCAATGGTAGGCCACGACATTTTTTAGCAACTATTCTTGCAAGTTCTGGGATCTCTGGATCGCTTCGTAGTGTTGTTTGTCCAACCTTCTTTTGGAAGAAACCAAATGCTTCATTTTCCTTCAAGCATTTGATTTCCATTGGGTTTTCAACCCCCATGCGCGCACAAACTTCTTGGGAACGAGTGGTGAATGCTACTTTGCATCGATTTTGTGTAGTTGGAACCGGGATTCCAATCTCAGATAAATCTACCTTCTCCCATAGATCATCTAAAAATAAGACGAATCTTCTTTTCCTTAAGAAATTGTATATCACATCAGCCTTTTGGTTTTTCTCTTTTTGTTTCCACTCCTCTCCACCAAGACGAACTTTCTGAGCGATTTCATCTAGAATCTTTTCTGTCTCCAATTCTCTAGACACAACAACCCAAATAATAAACTCAAAGCCATGCCTTTCATCACTAAACTTATTATTGAGCTGTTTGAGAAGAGTTGTTTTTCCTACTCCACCCATACCGTAGAGACCCATAATACCAACTTCATCTTTCATAAGATGATTCCATGCATTTTGAAATGCTGTTTCTTGACCAATAATCATTGCTTGAAGAGGCCTTTCCTCCACCGTAGGTACTTGTGTTTGCTCTGCAACCCCATCGAAATGGCCACTACTTTTGAGAAACTCAACCTCCCTCAAAATCAAGAAAACATTTTTTCCATAACGATAGGTTTGTATTAAACTTGTAGAGCAAAACCCACAAACACACAAGCTTTGAAGCTCAGCATTCCTAGCACTGAGAACATCTTC